GATGGCTTCCTAGAAGTCCACAGACACCTACGTTGACAACGTTCCCCCTCTTGGGGCGAACATCGTCAGTGGCATGTGGATTTTCAGGGTGAAGCGGCCGCCGGGTTCTCCGCCTGTCTTCAAGGCACGTTACGTGGCTCGTGGCTTCAGTCAGCGGCAGGGGATTGAATACTTTCAGACCTTCTCCCCCACCCCGAAGATGACCACTCTTCGGGTACTGCTACACATAGCTGCTCACCGTGACTACGAGCTACACTCTCTTGACTTCAGCACAGCTTTCATGCAGGGCAGCCTGCACAAGGAGATCTGGCTGCGCCGTCCACTTGGCTTCACTAGGACTTTTCCTCCTGGCACCAAGTGGAGCCTCCGGCGGCCAGTCTACGGTCTCCGCAAGGCACTGCGTAAGTGGCATGACACAATGAGGACTACACTTGCGGCTCTTGGGTTTGCTCCCTCTACTGCCGACCCGTCGCTGTTTCTGCGCACCGACACTTCTCTGCCGCCGTTCTACATCATCGTGTACGTCGACGACTTGGTCTTTGCCACAGCTGACACTGCTGGACTCGCCCACGTGAAGTCTGAGCTGCAGAAGAGACACACGTGCACAGACCTGGGTGAACTGCGCAGCTACCTTGGCTTGCAGATCACCCGGGACAGAGCACGCCGCACCATCACCCTGACTCAGTCACACATGGTGCAGCAGGTCCTTCAGCGCTTCGGCTTCACGTACTCCTCGCCTCAGTTCACTCCTCTGCCTACTCGCCACTCGCTCTTAGCTCTGCCTTCGGATGAGTCCGTAGAGTCGAGTGGCCCGTACCCAGAGCTTGTTGGCTGCCTCATGTACCTGATGACCTGCACACGACCTGACCTTGCATACCCTCTTAGCATTCTCGCACGCTATGTTGCTCCTGGGAGACACAGACCGGAGCACATGGCTGCAGCAAAGAGGGTGTTGCGCTACTTGTGCAGTACGTCGGGCATGGGGCTAGTGCTTGGAGGGCAGAGTAAAGTGGTCCTCAGTAGGCAAGCTGGTCGACGAGGAGGTCGACCCGTACAGGGGCCACTGCGAAGGGTGTCGACTTCAAGGCGCCCAATTTGGGGTGGTCGACCAGGAGGTCGACCGAACCTGGTGGTCGACGACGGAGGGGCCGACGTCGACCTCGATAGGGGAGGTTGTCCAGCTGGAGAGCGTCGAGTAGGACGTCGAGCAGCTAGGTGTCGATTAGCAGGGCGTCGAGGTGGAGGGCGCCGACCTTGGGTGGCCGACGACTTGGCGAAGTCGGCGGCCTAGTCCCGAAGTGGTCGACAAGGGGACACCGGCTAGGGAGGATACCGACCTGACAGTGCCGACCTGGTTGTCCAATTGACCGTGTTACCCGAGCGACAGTCTTCTGCGAAAGCATGCGAAGGTCATCGGGGGTGGTTTCTACGAGGCCGACCTCGGGGGTGGTATCCCGAGGTCGACGTGGCTGTTGGGCGCAGTCGCTGGCGTAGAGTCTGCCAGGCGTCTGTGCTGTGCTCGTGACGAGGAGTGGCGCACCAACCAGCTGCGCGCACCTGCGAAGCAGGTGCACCGTTGTCATGCGGATGCAACGCTGTGTAGCCGACTTGCTGCAGTGTTGGGCGCACCGCGAACTTGCAACATTGGCAAGCCGCGACTTTGCTCTCCTGGAGCGTGGTCGACGAAGTCGTGCTGGCACGCGGTCGGCCGTGCTGTGCTGGCAGTCGACCAACAGCTTTGCTAGGTCTGATGTAGTCTATATTGTCAATGTTGTTCCAATCATTGTTGTGAACTTTTGCTAGTGAAACCCTTGCCAACTTTCTCCGTGAACCAGCAAGTAGTGCAAGCACAAGTAAACGACAAAGGAACGAACGAAGAGATCCCTCCTACCCCGTGCCTAGCCCGTAGTCTTGCTCCTGTTGATAGAGTTATCTCCGCAAGGATACCTTGGAGGCACGTTTGGCTGATACGCGGAAATGCATTTAGGATGGCGAGTAACGGGAAGGTCCCCTTGGCGATTGTTGAGTTTGGCATCCGGGCGCAGAGGGCGACGGAGCACCCTTGGCGACGGGTGAAACGAAGGAGGCGTCGACGACGAGGTCGACGGTGGTGCACGAGTCAGCAGCAACAATGGCACAAAGCAAAGAGGGGTGATCAAGGTCGACGGTGGCATCGAGAGGAGTCAGGAGCGAGTGCAGCGGTCTACGGCGGATGCAGGTAGCTCGCGCGCCGACGTCGATGGTCGACGTTGCTCTCCTCTACGTAGCTGTGGATGGCTCTCGGCGACGACGCACGTGACGACGGGCAGGATCGCACCGGCGTATGGCTACTTCAAGTTTCCGCCAGACCGGATCACCATCACACCTCTTCAAGGTCGACGGGACCTCATCACCTTGAGGGAGTCGATAGAACCTCAGCTAGAGGTCGCCGGGCTGAAGGGCTTCGCCAACGGCACCGTGCCCATTCTGCCGGAGAAAGAGGACGAGCTGCGAGGAGAGTTTAGTGCTGATCACTTTCTCACCTTCATGGTCATCTCGAGGTGCTGCTCGCCAGTGGTGCAGCTAGCGCTCAGAAGCTGTTGAGAGCGACTGGATGCTGGCCACCAAGCATGGCACTTCATCCTGTCGACATACCAGGTGAAGGACGACATGTACATCGGACGGCTGGAGGAGAAGATGGTACACATTCGGATGGGCGAGCAGGAGTCGGCGACGGACTACTGCAACCATGCTCAACGGATCCTGGCTGAGATGCAGATGGCGGGCGCCGAATACTCTACGTCGTCCTACATCACCCACATCGTTAAGGGTCTGCCGTGCAGCTACAACCTCATGAAGAGGATGATGATGGTGCCCGGCACACGTGAGTCCCTCAACGCGGACTCCATCACCAGCTACATCCTCCAAGATGGGGCGATGCAGGAGGCAGAACAGCCCAAGTTGTGTGTGGCCCCGTCCTCTTTTGGGCGGTGCCGACTTTGTGGTCGGATGTGCGGGAGGTGCAGCCGACTTGTTGCAGTGGGCGACACCGAGTCGGGCGTGGTTGGCCTTCGCGGGGGCCATTGTGAAGCCGCCGACGATGGGACATAGGCTGCCGACTTTGATGGGAGCTCGACATGGTGAGGTCGACCTGGGAGGGCATCGACTTGGTGACACCGACCTGGTGAAGCCGACTTGGTGTGGTCGGCTGGAAGTTGGGCTGGTCGTTTAGGGGTGTGGTCGACTTGGTGTGGTCGACGGGTGGTGGTCGTCGACCTGGGTGGTCGACGGGCACGAGGAGAAGCTGCTGGTCGACGTGGTTGCCCGGTCGACCAAGTAACTGTCAAACTATGTTTGTTTTAGACTAGGTGGTGTACACATTGGTTAGTGCTAAGGTTAGGTTTGCTATATCTACCCTTATACACCCTCATTCTCGTTAGACTGGCATTTGTTATACAGACCGGGACGCTTAGTGTAGCCGCAGCGGACCAAAGAAGGTCCTATCACATGCGTTATACTGACAGTTTGACCCAGGGCGTTTAGTCAAGGTTCTATACGTTCTAGAATGGTACTGCTGTTTTCTAAACGGTTCAGCGTTAACGGAATTTTACGGCCCAAGTCTGGTTTCGTCGCCTCGTGCGACTTGGCCCGCAACCGAGTTATCTCACCAGCCCGCTACGTCCAAACACTGTAGCCACTGCTTCCGCCGGTGAGAAGACTGAGAATGAGGGTGTAGTACGTGCTCATTCTAGTCATTCTTAACCTCGTATAGAGCTGGTTTCCCGTAGCTAGGGTTTCCCCTCGCGTTTTCACTCTCGATAGATTAGGGCCCACCAAAATCGCTAGCGCGCGCCTCGTACTAACGCGCGCCCCGTCCTAACGCGCGCCTCGTAGCTAGTCGTCCGTCGCCTTAAGCGCGTCCGTCGTCAGTACCTACCCCGTCGCCCGTAGCATTCCCGTCGCCCGTCAACATTTACCCTCCCGTCGCCCGTCACCCATCCGTTTCCCGAGCGCTCCTCGCCTGTCGCGCGTCGAACGACCATAGGAAGCGGGCCCCACGGCCCTTTTTCGTTAGCAGGCTCTGCGGCCTATCCGTAGCGAGCCGCGCGGCCCGTAATCGACAACCCCGTGGCCCGCGCTAGCTGGCCCCGTGGCCCCCCACGCATTCCCCCTCAGTTCCGCCTGTACCCCATCGCTTTCCCGCCCGTACCCTGTCTGCCGCGACTCACTACCGCCCTAATCCGTGGCAATAAACCCTAACAGCCGCCTCAACCACTCCACAACCACTGAACCGCATTCTACCGCACCAGATCTGCCTCTCACCCGCACTAGACTACTTCCATCCGCAAGAAACCGCCTTTCACCGCACTAGACCACACTCAACCACGAGTGCCTGCTCCCCACCAAACTCAACCTGTCTCAACCGCCCTTCACCGCACTCAACCACACCAAACCCCCTCTCCACCGCTCTAGACCTCTCTCAACCGCACCAGAACCGCACCCAACCGTGCCAGGCTGCTCTTAGCCGCCCTCGTCCGTCCTTAGCCTCACCTGGCCGCATAGAAGGCCCCTCCCACTGCTATGACGACTGTCCTGGAGTTTGACCTTTGAGGGACGCCCTGTCGGTTTCCCGGCATGGCTGCGGAAGCTCAAGCTCTACCTCGGCAGCCGTCTCAAAAAAGATATCCCTCTTTCCGTGCGTGCTGCTGGTGAGCTGAAAGCTACCCCCCACTCCTGCTCTGCTTGGTGATGGTGCGTCAGCAGATGACCAGGCTGCCTATGCCCAGTGTCGCACTGAGCTTAGGCGCTCGGCTGCGCGTGACAATGCCACCATCCTTGCTATCACTGCCCTGCTGCCGCCGACCGAGCAGGAACACATTGCGCACGAGGAGACGGCGCCCTCACTGATGAAAGTTCTGATCACTCGCTATTCCACTCCTGTCACTGTGACTCTAGGACGCCACATCCTCCCCTTTCACTTTCCTGATATCCCATCATTTTCTGGGGTGGCTGACCTGATCATGCACTTGTGCTCCCTTGATGCTCAGTTCCGTGCTGCGTTTGTTGACTCTGCCTTGCTCGCTAAGAACCCCCCCTCCCCCCCCCTCTCCACGTACATGACCTTGTACCTTCTCGCCTCCCGTCTCCCTGACCGATTCAAATCCGCTCGTGATTATTTTCTCATCATTGATCCACCGACCCTCACCATTGAGCTCTTAGAGGAGAAGCTCCTTGTAGTAGAGGGTCCTGCTCGGTCCCTTGCTGCCACTACTGGTATTGTCCACCCCCTATCTTTGAGGGGTATGCCCCGTCTTTCCTTGCCTCCTCTGTGACCTATGCCTCTGTTGCTTCTGCAACAGAGGTGGCGGCCGTTGCCTCTGGCAACAAGGCGGGCAAGAAGGGTGGCAAGAAAGGAGGAGGTGGTGGTGGCGGTGGGAACGGCGGTGCGGGTGATGGTGGAGGGGGTGGAGGAAGTGGAGGAGGTGGAGGGAGTGGAGGAGGTGGCGTTTTCGGTGGTAGTGGAGGTGGGGGTCCTGACTTAGGGAGTGTGGAGCCCCAGCAGCAGCAGCAGCCGCAGGAGCAGCCACAGCAACACTAGCAGCCACAACAGCAGCTGCAGTAGCAGCAGCAGCAGCAGCTGCTGCAGTAGCAGCAGCAGCAGCAGCAGCCACGGCAGCAGCTTCTCCAAGGCCAGCAGCAGCAGGTCCAGCAGTGGCCCTCGCAGCAGCAGTAGAGGCCGGCCGGACCAGAGAGCACTGCACGTAGCAGTGGCCCGTCGAGCTGGTCGTCGCGTGGTCCAGCCTTGACTCCTTGCCAGTACTAGGCTCGGACCGGTTCCCGTCGAGACGGCCCCTGTGGCCGCCTCCGCCCTCCGGGTCTGTGCTTTGCGCAGCTTACGGACCGCACCGCCCACTTCGGCCTTGGTCGCACTCCCCCCGACTGGCGCTTGCTGGCGCACACCGTTGGTCCGCAGTTGTTTGACATGAATGCAGTAGACTTGGACCATGATGTGCGATCTGCCTTCTGTGATGTATGCGGATGACTCTAGTGCTGCGTATTCTGGTTATTACTCTTGTTTGTCTAGCTTAGGTGATGTAGAGGTTGCAAGTGCTTTCCATGCTAGCGTAGCTTGCACAGGTTCGACCACCGGAACTGCGTCTCTATCGTTCACGCTCGACTCTGGGGCGTCAAGTTGTTTCTTTCGCGACTGCGCAGACCTCACACCATTACGAACTCTCGTCTTTGTCGCCCTAGCTGACTCCACAACAGGACCGGTGGTTGCTCACAACACCACCACCCTTACATGTCAGGCGGCTCCCTCTCGGTTTCTCACGGATTACTACACACCCTCGTTCTCCAGGAACTTGGTGGGTGTCAGTTACCTGCACGACCTCAGAGAAGTCACTACTTTCCCGGTGCTGTGTCAGGTCAGGCCAGGTCAGGTCATGTAGCTGCTGTGTCGTGCGACCCGTCGGTCCTCTGGCACCACCGTCTCGGTCACCCGTCGTTCTCACGTCTTTATAGGATGGTACGTCACCGTCTGGTCTTAGGTCGCCCAAAGTCACTTGCCCTGCTTCCTCGCTCGCCTGCGCCGCCGTGCACTCCTTGCGTCGAGGGTCGGCTGTGCGCTGCCCCTCACTCCTCCTCGTTCCCGCCCACTACGACTCCCCTACAGACTCTGCACTTGGACGTCTGGGGCCCCTCCCTGGTCCTTGGCCCACGCCAGGAGCGCTACTTCGTGATTGTGGTGGACGACTTCTCCCGCTACACCACGGTTTTCTCCTTGCGACGGAAGGTTGACGTGCATACCGTCCTCGAGCCATGGCTACTAGCGAGGGGTGGCGCCCAGGGCCTGTGTGGGCTCCGCCCACATTCGGACCGTGGTGGTGATTTTTTCTTCCTCTCTCCTGGAGACATTCTGTTTAGGGTCGGGGGATCATCTAGTCTTACACACTACCAGACTCGCCGCAGCAGAACAGGGTGGCCGAGCGACACATCGGCGTGGTAATGGAGGTTACTCCATGTGCCATGCCGGTGCCCCCCAGTTCCTGTGGCTTCAGGCAGTCCACTACGCCGCGCACCAATTGAACCTGTGGCATAGTGACGCATGGCCACGGGTGACGCCAGTCTCCCTTTGGACAGGTTCTTTGGGCGTAGCAGCTGACTTCCGCGTCTAGGGTTCTCTAGCTGACGTTCTCGTCACCCTTTGGCTTCCCGTCCGTCCCACAGTTCCTTTCTCGTTCTTCTCTGCGGCCGGTTGCTGCGGAGCCTTGGGGTGTTACTTCAGGAGGTACCGGAGGCCACGGGGGTGTCGGTGGTGGAGTTGCTGGTTCTGGGGGTGCTAGAGCTAGAGGCACTGGCACTGTGGCGCCTACACCGCGCACTGTACGTTTCTTAACCCGTGAGCAGCGTCTCCTCCGGTTGGAAAGGGAGGAGCGTGAGCGGTTTGAGAGGGCATAGCAGCAGCAACAGCAGCAGCAGGAGCAGTCTCAGTCGCAGCAGCAAGAGTAGAGGAGTCACAGCAGCAGCAAGAGAGAGCAGAGGAGGGGTCACCACTATAGCAGCAGGTGCAGTTGCAGCTACAGCAAGAGAGTGTAGAGGAGTTACGAGTATAGCAGCAGGTGGAGTTGCAGTCGCAGCAGGAGAGAGTAGAAGGAAGAGTCACGACCGCACCAGAAGAGGGTAGAGCAGGAGTCCCGACCGCAGCAGTAGGTACAGTAATAGACACAGCAGGAAAGAGTAGAGGAGTTACGACCGCAGCAGGAGAGGGTAGCGGAGGAGTCCCGGCCATAGCAGCGAGTGCAGCTGCAGCCTCAGCAGGAGAGGGCAGAGGAGGAGCCACAGGAGCAAGAATAGGGGCAGGTACTGTCGCAGGAGACGCCAACGGGGGCGGAGCGGCGGCGACTGCGACTGCTGACCTGCCCGACCCAGCACCTGCACGCTCGGTTCGTGGTCCCCTACTGTCCCCTCCTGTTCCCCCTGTCGAGTCCCTTTCCTCGTCCCAGTGGGCTCGTCGTTCTCCCCTCAGTCGTGCTGTGTCCCCAGAGCCTCGTCGGTCCTGTTACCGTGCCGACGGCCCGTTTCACCTTGTTCTTCGATCTAGTGTTCCGTCTCCACCTGTCCTTCCACAACCTCGTGAGTCATCCCTCACTGTGTTTCACAACCCGCTGTCCGACTACCTCCGTGCCTCTTGCCGTATCGTCTCCCGTGGTCTGTCCGCGTTGGTCACTCGCCCGACTGCCCCTCTGCTCTCCGCCTCAGTGTCACCACTGTCAGTGCCTTTGCCTCTTCCCACCGCCTTGACTACACCGCTCACCTGGTGACTGGCACTGCTCGTTCTCCATCCTCTGGGGGTGCTCCTGTCTTTCCCTTGGAGGTCCTGGAGGACAGGCAATTTGAGTTTGGTTTCCTTGCGGCCGCTGTTACTCATCTCTGCGCCATGCTGCTTGCCCCTGAGGGGGATTTAGTCGCCATTGATATCCCGATCCCTTCGTATTGGATAGCAATTGAGGAGGCAGAGATGGCATCTTATAGGTCCACAGGCACCTACGTCGATGCCGTCCCACCACGTGGGGCGAACGTTTTCAATGGCATATGGCTCTACAAGGTGAAGCGGCCACCTGGAGCACCACCGGTGTTCAAGGCGCGCTACGTGGCGAGAGGCTTCAGTCAGCGAGAAAGGATAGACTTCTTCCAGACCTTCGCTCCCACCCCAAAGATGACCAATCTTCGGGTGTTGCTGCACATTGCAGCTCAGCACGACTACGAGTTGCACTTCTTAGACTTCTCCATAGCGTTGCTTTAGGAGAGCCTGTACGAGCAGATCTGGTTGCGTCGTCCGCCTGGCTTCACCGTCTCTTTCCCTCTTGAGACCCAGTGGCAGCTGCGTCGTCCAGTCTACGGCCTGCGCTAGGCTCTTCGTGAGTGGCACGACACACTTCGCACGACACTTGCTGCACTTGACTTTTTTCCGTCGTCTGCCGACCCGTCGGTGTTCGTTCACCGTGGTCGACCCCGTTCTTTGTGCTGGTTTACGTTGACAAACTGGTCTTCGCCACTCTCGACCGATGCGCAGTGGCCTCCGTGAAGGAGGAACTGCAGGGGAGGCACATTTGCATTGACCTTGGTGAGCTGCAGTGCTACCTTGGCCTGCAGATCACCAAGGACAGGGCAGCTCGCACCATTACGCTGACTCAGTCGCATATGGTCGAGCAGCTCCTCACGCAGTTTCGCTTCCCATTCTCCAAGGTGCAGCTCACCCCTCTTGCTGTGGATCATGGACCCACGGCTCCACCTTTGGACGAGCCGTTTGAGTCCAGCGGTCCATATCCTGTACTCGCCAAGACCTAGCTTACCCTCTTAGCGTTCTTGCGCACTTTGTTGCGCCTGGCAGACACCGACCTTCCCACTGGTACGTTGCTAAGAGGGTGGCAAAGTATATGGCGAGCACACCAGGCATGGGACTTGTCCTTGTAGAGAAGCAGCCAGTTACACTTACAGGTTTTTCTGACTCGTCGTGGGCTGACGACGCAGAGTCGTTGCAGTCTACATAGGGTTACCGCTTCAGCCTTGGGACCGGACCTGTTTTGTGGAGGTCGACACGGGGGTCGTCCGTCTCTAGTTCTAGTTGTGAGGCAGAGGTGTACGTTGCGGCCATGGTAGCATAGGAGCTTCGCTGACTGTCTTTCCTCCTCACCGACCTTGGTGAGCGGCCTCGTTCTTCCCCAGTCTTGTTCGCCAACAACAGGTCTGCTATCCTGTTGTGCGACTTGCCCCGACTGGTTGGGAAGGCGAAGCACATCCAGCTTTGTTACTTCCTTTTGCGAGAGTTGCAGCAGCGTGGCCAGGCACTCGTGTGACGTGTGGTCTTTGAGGCCAACACTGCAGACATCTTCACCAAGGCGTTGCCGCCTTGTGACCACCAGCATTTCTGCACCCAGCTTGGCCTTGTAGACACACTTGCTTGTATAGAGATGCTTTGTATTGTACTCTTGCATCTCACTAAATATTTTATATCTGTGCTTGTGGACAGGCCTTGTGGCCCCTTACTTCTATAGAGATGCTTGTCGTGCATGTCTTGTACTCTTGCATCTCTTATATCTGCTATATACTTTCATGTCAATTGGCCTTGTGGCCCCTTGCTTGTTCTTGGACTTTGTGGTGATCTTGAGATCCACCCCGAGAGTTTCTTTGTTCTTGTGAACTGGTCGTGTGACCGTTGCTTGTTCTTGCTGACTGGCCATGTGACCCTTGCTCTTGGGTTGTGTGTTGCTCTCGACATGACTACCGTCTCCTAAACTATGGGGGTGTTGAGAAGAAACGAGAATGGATGAACTATGAAAGGAGTGAGTACAAGTACTAACCCTAATTGGGTTGTACCCCCTATGGGATACCCCACTATAGCCTACACAAAATATATAAGCTATAATGTTCTGACACACCCCCATAGGCAAAGTGGGGGAGAACAAGGGGTCACAAGACCAGTCAAGCAAAGCAAAGAAAAGCAAGCTCAGGGTGGATCACAAAGTCACCACACAGTCCGAGCACAAGTTCAGGGCCACAGGGTCAGTTCACATGCAGGAGTATAGACATATAAAAGCTAGACAAGCAAGAGCAGGTATAGATATAGGTAACAATACAAGCAAGGTCAAGAGGTGAGCAAGTGAGGCAAGAGAGGCACAAGACCCAGCTGCGTGCAGAAGCGCTGATGATCACAAGGCGCAAGTGCCTTGGTGAAAACATTAGCAGTGTTGGCCTCAGAGGCCACGTACGCAAGCCGCAACTGACCACGCTGCTGTAGCTCACGAGCAAGGAAGTAGCGGAGAGCAATGTGCTTTGTTCTGTGCTCCAGTCTCTGCTCTTGACACAAGGCCAGCATGGCCTTGTTGTCTACATACAGGACTGGAGGAGAACGAGGCGGCTCTCCAAGGTCGGTCAGCAGGTAGGTGAGCCAGCGAAGCTCCTGTGCAGCCATGGCCCCGACGTAGATCTCAGCTTCACAACTAGAGCTGAGAACAGAAGACGAGCGAGTATCCCGCCACGAAACAGAACCGGAACCAAGGTTGAAGGTGTAACCCTGTGACGACCGCTGAGTAGAATGGTCGTCAGCCCAAGAAGCGTCCGCGTGCCCAGTGAGGACCACTGGACTCCGCCCTCCAAGCACTAGCCCCATGCACGACGTACTGCACAGGTAGCGCAACACCCTCTTCGCTGCAGCCATGTGCTCTAGTCGGTGTCTCCCAGGAGCAACATAGCGTGCGAGAATGCTAAGAGGGTATGCAAGGTCAAGTCGTGTGCAGGTCATCACGTACATGAGGCAGCCAACAAGCTCTGGGTACGGACCACTCGACTCTACGGACTCATCCGAAGGCAGAGCTAAGAGCGAGTGGCGAGTAGGCAGAGGAGTGGCCTGAGGCAAGGAGTACGTGAAGCCGAAGCGCTGAAGGACCTGCTGTACCATGTGTGACTGAGTCAGGGTGATGGTGCGGTGTGCTCTGTCCCGGGTGATCTGCAAGCCAAGGTAGCTGCGCAGTTCACCCAAGTCTGTGCACGTGTGTCTCTTCTGCAGCTCGGACTTCACGTAGGCGAGTCCAGCAGTGTCAGCTGTGGCAAAGACCAAGTCGTCGACGTACACGAGGATGTAGAACGGCGGCAGTGAAGTGTCGGTGCATAGAAACAGCGACGGGTCTAAAGTAGAGGGAGCAAACCCAAGAGCCACAAGTGTAGTCCTCAGTGTGTCGTGCCACTCACGCGGTGCCTGGCGGAGACCGTAGACTGGCCGCCGGTGGCTCCACTGGGTGCTAGGAGGAAAAGTCCTAGTGAAGCCAAGTGAGCGGCGCAGCCAGATCTCCTCGTGCAAGCTGCCCTGCAGGAAAGCGGTGCTGAAGTCAAGAGAGTGTAGCTCGTAGTCACGGTGAGCAGCTACGTGCAGCAGTACCCGAAGAGTGGTCATCTTCAGGGTGGGAAAGAAGGTTTTGAAAGTAGTCAACTCCCTGCCGCTGATTGAAGCCCCGAGCCACGTAACGCGCCTTGAAGACATGCGGAGAACCCGGCGGCTGCTTCACCCTCAAAATCCACATGCCAGTGACGATGTTCGCCCCAAGAGGGGGGACAGCGTCAACGTAGGTGCCCGTGGACTTCCAGGAAGCCATCTCTGCATCCATAGCTGCCTGCCACTGAGAAGAGTAGGGACACTCTATCGCCTCCGCGTAAGAGCGCGGAGTCGGGATGTCGAGTGCATCCGGGTCTCCCTCAGGGGTAAGCAGTACGGATACGAGATGAGGTGAAGCAGCGGCCAAGCACTGGAACTCCTCCTGCCTGTCCTCAAGGACGTCCGTGCCAAGGGCACACTCACCGTCGACAGATGGAGGACAGACAGACTCAGACTCAGCGACTCCGGGTCGGCAAGAGCAGGAAGAGAGGACTCAGGAGGAGAAGACAAAGGGGCACGCAGAGGAGCAGTGGACGGACGTAGAGACATCCGGTGCGTGCCAAGGACAGGAGGAGGATGCTGACGCGAACCGCAACCACTAGTGCGAGCAGTACGGACAGGCGACGCAGGGCGAGACGCAGGCTCACGACGCTCAGCAGGACCTCCGGTAGGCCCAGTGTAGGGAGAAGGAGCAGGCAGTGGGGAGGTGGGCCGTAGCTCTAATTGTGACCGGACAGGCTGTGGACACTCTAAGGGAGGAGGAGGACCGGGAGAAGGCGGGAGACCAAGAACCTGCTGAAGGAGTGGAACGAAGTACGGCCGCCGCCGTGCAGCGACTCCAGAACCAGCAGAGACACCAGAGCCAGGGTCCTCAGCACCAGCAGCAGCTCCAACTCCCGGGTCCTCAGCAGCAGCAGCAGCAGATCCAACGCCCGGGTCCTCAGCACCAGCAGCATCTCCAACGCCCGACTCCACATTACCAGCAGTAGCACCAGCGCACGGCTCCACAGCACCAGCAGCAGCACCAGTGCCCGGGTCCTCAGCACCAGCAGCAGCTCCAATGCCCGGGTCCTCAGCGCCAGCAGCAGCTCCAACGCCCGGGTCCGCAGCACCAGCAGCAGCACAAGCAGCACCGGGGTCCGTGACACCAGGCCCGCCACTTTGAAGAGTGAAGCGCCGCTCGTACCACTCACGGATCTGCTCACGGGAGGGGAGCTCCCGGCTAGAAGGAGAAGCACCGGCACCAGCCCCAGTAGTACGCCTGGCTCCAGAGGTACCTCTCCTGAGGCTGCACTACTTTAAGTACCACTCACGCAGCTGCTCTGAGGAGAGGGCTCCTCCAGGTGTAGGACTCTCAGGCTCAGGGCCTCCAGACTCAGAACCCCCAGACTCAGCACCCCCAGGCTCAGCACCCCCAGGCTCAGCACCCCCAGGCTCAGCACCCCCAGGCTCAGCACCCCCAGGCTCAGCACCCCCAGGCTCAGCACCCATAGGCTCCGCACCCCCAGGCTCAGCACCCCCAGGCTCAACACTCCCAGGCTCAGCACCCCCAGGCTCCGCACCCCCAGGCTCAGCACCCCTAGGCTCCGCACCCCCAGGCTCAGCACCTCCAGACTCCGCACCGGCAGCTGGACAAGAGTCGACAGCTATGTAAACAGGCTCAACAGGGTCTACCTGAGACACACCTGAGGGAGCGGTACCTTTAGGGGGGAGGGGGTCTACGACAGCAGCACATGGCGCGAGGAAGAGAGGCGGGGGGGGGGGAGCGGGGCAGTGCGGTAGGGGAAGAGGCGGTAGTAGGGGACGGACTCGTCAAAAGTGACGTCCTGAGAGGGCAAGACTCGGCGCGAGGTGGCGTGGTAAAGCTGCCAACCAGGCGCGTGCGGGACAAAGCCGAGGAAGACGCAGGGAACAGCACGGGAGGAGAGCGTGTCCGCAGACGTATCGCGCACAAAAGCTCGAGATCCCCAGACCCGGAAACGTGACGCATCGCCAACCTCCCCCGTCCACAGAAGTGTGGGCGAGGTCTTCGGCAAGGAGACACGGGGCCAGAGGTTGAGCTGATGCGCAGCGTACCGGACCGCAAACGGCCACAGAAAGTGGGGGGCAGCCGCATGGATCAAGGAGGTACGGGCGACCTCCATGACCAGGCCAATGCGGCGCTCCGCAACCCCATTCTGCTGTGGAGAGGCCGGAAGCGTGAACGACTGCTCAATGCCGTGCTCAGCACAGTAGGCTGCCAAGAGGTCGGAGGAGAACTCACCACCTCTGTCAGAGTGCAAGCGCAGGACAGGAAAGTCCGAGCGGAAACGCTCGCTGAGCTGGAGACGGGCTCTACGGATCCAAGGGATCAAGACACCAGGGACCTCACCCTTGGTGCGCAAGGGGAAGACCGTGGTGTAGCGCGAGTAGTCGTCAACAACTATCAGGAAGTACCTCTCCTGACCCTGACCACGGACGCGGGCTGGGCCCCACACGTCCATGTGGAGCGTCTGCAAGGGAGCAGTCGTCGGGGGAAACGAGGAGTGAGGAGCGGCGCGTTGCCGCCCCTTGACACAAGGAAGAAAGGGAGGAGCAGGCGAGGGTGGGAGGGGAGGGAGGACCCTGGGAAGACCAGAGACAAGGTACCAGGAGTGCATGGCACGAAGGCGCTGCACAGACGGGTGGCCAAGTCGGTGGTGCCACAGGACAGTCTCGTGCGCCAGAGAGCGACACGAGCAGGGGTCAGACAGCAGACCTGACGCGGACGCAGACGCAGACGCAGCGACCTGAGGGGATCCAGTGGTCAGTGTGTACAGGTCCGACCCCGGCTGCCGAGTGAAGGTAGCTAAGTGGTGGCCCGTACGAGCACACGTGTAGTGTGTCACACGCTCGTAGGCAGGGGTGAACTGGTGAACACCCCCGTCCTGGAGTGCACAACCTGCCACCAAGTTCGTAGAGAACGAGGGGAGGTGGAGACTTGACAGTGTGCCCGACGGGACCGCAGGACAGGGAAGGACAGTGGAGGAGGTCGCAATGACCGGACCCCCAGAGGGGTCAGCGAGGGAGACAGCAACTGGCCGAGCAAGTGGCTCAAGGGCAGTGCGGTCACGAAAGAAGCAGCGAGAAGCACCTGAGTCCAGTGTGAAGGTGTGCAGTGCTGCCGTCAACTCAGTACCAAGTGGGGCAGACGCAGAAGCACCTAGAGCAGCTGCCTCACCAGCACCTGGAGCGGCAGACGCACTAGTCCTAATGCCCGGGTCGGGCGGCACACACAGGTACTCACCACCCTCTCCACTAGTAGATATCACATACATAGCAGTGAGAATAGCATCAAAGTCTAGAGCATAGATATCAATCCCCTTCTTCAGGAGATCAACCCAGCGGGGCAGCTCAGTGGCCTGAGGGAACTGAACACGCCAAGCGTCGTTGAGACGAGCGAAGCAGCGCTGTGTGGCGTGCGGTCCCCCACACGGCTGGCCAGTGCGGTCACCAGTGCGAATGACGTACGTGCAGCTAAATCCACCCCCCCCCCCCCCCCCGTGCTGAGAGTACCACTCACGGACCTCCTGGGGCGACGGAGTGTGCTGCTGACCCTGGCCACCGCCAGCGCCTCCACGACCACCACCGCCGCCGCCACCTCCTCAACCACCCCAACCCTTGCCGCCGCCGCATCCACCGCCACCCCCACCACCGCCTCCGCCCCTGCCACCTCCCCCACCGCTGCCGCCACCACCCCCACCGCTGCCACTAGCCCCTCCAGTTGCGCCACCACCCCCACCGCCACCACCTCCCCCACCACCGCCTCCCCCGCTGTCACCGCCACCGCCCTTGCCCCCTTTACCCTTGCCGCTGCGGCGCCCGCTCGAAGCAGACGCAGTCCCGACCTTCTCAGCACCAAGGAGGTCGACAACAGCAGCAGAGGCGACAGAGGGAAGAAGGGGGGAAGGAGAGCACCCCTCAAAGAACGGGGTACGGGGGTCGCCATGAGAGGCACCTACAGCGACTATGCTAGCCTCAGCTGCAAGGAGTTCCTTCTTGAGGAAGGCAATGGTGAGCTCAGTGGGGCAGCGAGCTAGAAAGTGGTCCCTGACTGAGCGCAGCGTGTCAGGGAGGCGGGTGACCAGGTGGTAGAGAGTGAGCCAGAGCGGGGGTGGGTTCTTGGCAAGGAACTCATCAGGCATGGCGGCGCGGAAGCGAGCCTCACTAGTACGGAGGTGCGTAATGAGGTCAGCGACTGTGTGGAACGAGGCTAAGTCGGGGAACAGGTAGGGAAGAGAGAGACGGCCTAGTGCGGCAGAGGCCGGTGAGGAGTAGCGGGCAACGACAACAGTGTACAGTGCCTGTGCAGTCTTGTGCTGCCCAAAGTGCTCGCGCTCATGTATCGGCAAGGAGTTGCGAATAGCGAAGCGAGCGTGGGCATCACGAGTCTGCCACTGTGAGTGGGCAGTGCTGTCAGCAGTAGCAGCGGGAGCAGTAGCATGGCCTAGGGCGCGATCGTACAGTGAGATGTCTTCCTTGGCAGTGAGCTGTAGGAAGAGGTGTAGGTCATCTAGCTAGGTTTCGAACTTCACGGGGCGGCCCTCAGCATCGAAAGCTAGCACAGGAGGGCTAGCCATAGCAGTAGCAGGACTAATAGCAGTAGTAGGAGAAAAAGTAGTAGTAGCAGTAATAGCAGTAGTAGGTACTCAGGTAGGGCGGCTCGGTCCAGTACGTGCAGCGCGGCTCAGTTCAGGTAGGGCGACGCGGCTCGGTTTTGGTCGGGCGGCTCGGTTCGGGGGGCTCGGTTCGGGCTGGGAGGCTCGGTTCGGGCTGCTCGGGTCGGGCGGCTCGTTCTGGGCGGGGCCGTTCGGGGCCTCTAGGGGCGAGCGCGGGGCCGATCGGGGCCTTTAGGGGCGAGTGTGGGGCCGTAAGAGGCTGCTAAGGGCAAGCACGGGGCCGATCGGGGCCTTTAGGGACGAGCGCGGGGCCGTAAGGGGCCGCTAAGGGCGAGCGCGGGGCCGATCGGGGCCTCTAGGGGCAAGCGCGGGGCCGTAAGGGGCCTCTAGGGGCGAGCGCGGGGCCGTTCGGGGCCTCTAGGGAGGTGAGCGCGGGGCCGACGGGGCCTCTAGGGAGGTAAGCGAGGGGCCAATGGGGCCGTTAGGGGCGATCGCGGGGCCGAAAGGGGCCGCTAGGGGCGAGCGCGTGGGCCGTTCGGGGCCTCTAGGGGCCGTGAAAACCGAGGCGCCCTAGGGCGAAGGTAGGTAGGTAGGTAGTGGTGGGCCCTTAAAAATATCGGTCCTAGGAAGGACCTGCTCTATACCATGTTGGAATCAATGAACAGGAATGGTTGAACTAAGAGTGAAATGAGTACAAGTACATAACCCTAGAAATGTGTACCCCCTATAGACTAACCCACTGTAGCCTAAACTAGCACAACATATATAATGTTTGACAATCCAGACGTCAAAGTCAATGGCCCGACCCTCGACGTCAAAAGCGAGGACACTAGGGGTAGCCATGACAGCAGCAGACTAGCAGCACAAGTAGTAGGGTAAGGGCAGTGCAGTGATAGAGGCGCTGCTCTTACCGGACAGGGCTGCTCGGGCGGCTCGGCGGCGCGGGCGGCTCGGCTGCTTGGCGGCTCGGCTGCTGGGCGGCGCGGGCAGCTCGGCTGCTGGGTGGCTCGGCTGCTCGGCTGCTGGGCGACTCGGCGGCTCGGCTGCTGAGCGGGTCGGCGGCTCGGCTGCTCGGCGGCTCGGCGGCTCGGCTGCACGGCGGCTCGGCTGCTGGACGGCTGGGCTGCTCGGTGGCTCGGCTGCAGGGCGGCTCGGCGGCTCAGCTGCTCGGTTGCTGGGCGGCACTGCAGCAGGTGACGGGGTCGCAGGTACGGGCGGCGGGGCCGCAGGTAGAGGCGGTGGGGCCGCAGGTAAGGGCGGCGGGGCCGCAGGTAAGGTGGCGGGGCCGCTGGTGAGGTGGCCGGGCCTTAGGTAAGGGCGGCGGGGCTGAAGGTAAGAGTGGCGGGGCCACAGGTGAGGTGGCGGGGCCGCAGGTGAGGTGGCGGGGCCGCAGGTGAGGTGGCGGGGCCACAGGTGAGGTGGCGGGGCCGCAGGTAAGGGCGGCGGGGCCGCAGGTAGGTGGCGCGCCCGCAGGTACGTGGCAGGGCCGCGGGTGAGGGCGGCGCGAGGGGCTGCGGAGGTCGGCGGCGTGCCGTAAGGGCGGCACGCGACGCCGCAAAGGGCGGCGACGGGCCGGTACGGGCGGCGCAAGGGCGGCGACGGGCCGCTTAGGGTGGCGACGGGCCGAGTAGGGCGGCGACGGGCCAAGGAAGGGCGGCGAGGGGCCGCGTAGGGCGGCGCGAGGCCGCGAAGGGCGGCGACGGGCCGAGTAAGGGTGGCACAAGGGAGGCCGCTAGGGGCGATGCGAAGGGGCCGAAGGAGGCCTATGAAGGGCGCGACGGTAGAGAGGGCACACGAGGCGCGACTCGGGCCTAAGCGAAGCTCGCTCCGGGCAGGAAAAAAAAAACTTCGACTTGGTGGGCCCTAAGAACAGTTCCCACGAGGGAACCTGCTCGATACCATGAGAAGAAACGAGAATGGATGAACTATGAAAGGAGTGAGTACAAGTACTAACCCTATTTGGGTTGTACCCCCTATGGGATACCCCACTATAGCCTACACAAAATGTATAAGCTACAATGTTCTGACAGGTGTGTCAAACGATAATTGTTATAGTTTGTATTGTTTAGTCTAGGTGGTGTACACCTTGGTTAACTATAGGGTTAGGTTTGCTATATGTACCCTTGTTCTTGCTCATCCTAGTAATTCATTCTTATATCTTAACAGTAACGCGGGCGAGGGGGTTCTGGGGAGAAGTGTGACAGTCGCCCATTTGGTTCTTGTCGAGAAATACATATTTCTATCTATAACTGCTTCTATCTGTGTAGTGTAGTTATTATATCTTGTAGGTAGTGCACCATTGCATTCTCCTTTGCCTATATCCGTGTAACCTTTCTCAATACTTAACCTCTTTTGCCAACCTTGCTTCTACTCTCGATAGTTGCCTAGCACCAAAACCCTAAGCACTTCTAAGCTTAATTCAACAGTTCTGGGGAAGCCGACCTCAGTGGTGGTATCCCGAGGTCGACGTGGCTCATGAGGTGAAGTCAACAGCACGTGGATGCTTTGGTGTCTGCGTTGTGCAGGTGGTGAGGCACAGCACGCCAATCAACTGCGAGCACCTGCTATCATGCGAGTGCAACGCTGTGCAGCTTCCTTGATGCGTTGGCATGCCGTCGACTTGCGGCGTTGGCAGACCCCGACTTTGCACTGCTGGTGCGCTGTCGACCTTGCAGTGATAGAACGCGGTTGACCGTGCTCCGCTGGCAGTCGACCGTGCTGCACTGGCAGTCGACCTGCGTGCTTGCTAGCATCGAATGTAGTCTTCCTTGCCAACTTATTCGCAATTATTGCTGTTGAGCTCTTGCTAATGAAACTCTTGCCAATTTTCCCTGTGAATTCGCAAGTAGTGAAAACACGAGCGAAACAACTAAGGAATGATACGATTACTCCTACACCCGTGCCTTTTCCGTAGTCTAGCTCCCGTTGTACAAGTTATCTCCGCAAAGAAATCCCCACTTAGCTGCCTAACTTGACCACTGCCACACCACTCACTCATGCTTTCGTCCACTCTTCACCACCACTGTCGCACACCACTCCACCCTCACTCAGCATCAATTTTGGAGTTGGAGGTGAAAATGATTCCTCTTCCCTCATTGATCCCTGCTCACCCTCCTCCATTCCACCACATTCGCCACTAACACCACGCTCGTGTGCTGCACCACCCAGCATATCCTTCGCCTCTGAAGCTTGTCCCTCACCACATGGGAGCTACTGCATAACTTTCATGAGAACGGAATAAGCTCACCTGTGTTGCACCACCCAGGGTATCACCCGCCTCTGAAGCTTGTCCCTCACCACCCGGAAGCTGTTGCATAACATCGATAAGAACGGAATGAGCTAGCTCCATACCCAGTGCAAGCAAACTCCTGGCGGTCGTCACTGCTGGTACCGCCACGCTCATTGCACCTGCTGCAGCGGACACAACGGCAGTGACTCCATCACACGAGCGCTGGCGCTGAAGTGAGAATCTGGCATGTTTGCGCATCTTCCACCTAATGGCGAGCCTGTGAGCCGACTGATGCTTCACCATGCGGCACTTTAATGCAGCAACCATGGTTGATGTCACCTCCGATATCTTCATTTTCCTCCCACCCATGCCGCAACAACATTTTCTGATTAAGAAGCTGGTGGTGATGCCGCCTCCGCCTCAACCGCAGCAACTGCTGCCGTGGTGACAGAATTCGTTTCCGCCTATGCTACGTCCCTCTTCAGCCCCTTCCTTGCAACCTTCGAGATAGGGGTTTAGCAATGAAGATAGAGGCCTAAGGTCGAGGCGTAGGTTGAGTCCATCGAGCGCTTCATTGATGGGTCGACCAAGATTCGTCAGTTGAGTGACGGCTCGCGATATGCGCAATTCCCATCAGCCTGCTGCTGACTTTCATGGTGAAATCATGATGCTGCTGCAATACAACTGTAAAAAATTCGTTCAAGGCATGTCGATTTCGAGTAGACGCAAGCTACCAAACGTAGCAATTCATCATGGAGACTTACGAAGTATGGCCTCTACATCGCCCATCTAGAGGAGAGCTTGACAACAATGGAGATGGAAGAGCATGAGACGGCGCAACCTACTGCGATCATGCACAACAGATCATCGCCAATCTACAGATGACCGGCAAAAATTAATCGATGCCCTCCTACGTAACTCATGTCATCTACCAGATGTCTGCTCACACCGTCAACTTGGCGGTGCAGTCTACAATAAGTGTTGTGTCATTGCAGCTCTTGAAGATGAAACTGCAAGACCTTGCTTCATGTGTGGGCATGTCGCCCAAGCGTTCGGTTGCTTGGATTGCGCACCATGTGGCAGATACAGTACTACCGGGCT